TGATGTCTAATTTCTTGAGTTCCTTATATATTCTGGATATCAGTCCTCTGTCAGATGTGGGGTTGGTGAAGATCTTTTCCCATTCTGTAGGCTGTCACTTTGCCTTGTTGACCATATCCTTTGCTCTACAAAAGCTTCTCAGTTTCAAGAGGTCCCATTGATTGATTGTTTTTTTCAGTGTCTGTGCTACTGGTGTTATATTCACAGTCTTAATCAAGAGCTGACCCCAGTCTAACCCATACCTTCCTTCTACTATGTGGACCTCTCCTGAGGAGATACTGCCCACTTCAATTTCTAGTCTCATTATATTGGGACCAGGATACCAAGTCCCATCATTCTGTTTTTAAGTGAGTGTACTGAAAAATACTTTGTGCTTTAGAATATCTTATGTTAGTTCTTGCTTATTACATGTACTAGAAAGTTGACTCTGTTTGGTTTCATGTTACTAAAAACACATTTCCCTTGGTAGAGTCCTCAGGGGGTGACTACAGAGCAACAGGGCTGCATCTAGGACTTGACATAGCAGCTTGTCAAATTCAGATTGCTAGTATGTTGTCCATTGTGGCCATAGGCTCTGGGCTTCATTGCATTTGTCCACAAAAAATGCTTTCCTTTTTTCATCCACAAATATCCACTTCTGTTCTAGCAACCCTCTAAAAGTCACATACATTAGGTGTTTATCAACGGAAATACTGAGCACGATAGTGCAGGGAGGAGAAAAGAAGGCAAACTACAAATGCATAAATGCCAGCACAGTATTGCTCCTCTCCAACCTGCTTCACATCAAAGCAATGATGTTGCAGGAAACTTACAGCGTATGTTTTAAAATAAAAATTCTCTTTCTTACTGTGCCATTCCAGATCCCCACTTTCTAATTTGTCTAACTCCTTTTAAACTTACTTGTATATTCAACTAAACTCACATTTCAGTGTACATGCAGAAATCAGACCGCTCAGAAAATTTTAAGGAAGCCCCCATCACATGTAGGCTCCATCTCACCATTAGCCACAGTAATGTCAGCAAATTCCTATGCCCCAAATATAAGAGAATGCAGCCAGAGTGATTTCCATGAGAGAAAATCAACACGAGACATATCAGCCTCATGCAAAGCCCTCTGGCTAATGGCAAGCTTCTTGCCACAATGGTGCCACAGTACTGACTAAGCCTTCACTTCCAAAGCATGCGTCACCAGATTTGCTATTAGCTGCAGCTTTACTCCCTGTTCAGTCTCCAAGCTGCAACCCTCAGAACATGGCAATTTATATAAATGCTGCAAATTGCCATTTCTACATTTAAGAAACCAAGCACATTTTTTACCGCTTACTCTGACAGTTTTCCTCTCTTTAGGAATTTTGCTAGAGCTTTTGAATTTCTATTTATGTATGGTTCTCTATGATGTGTGTACAAATTGAAGGAAAGTCTCAATCGGTCTCCATGGGTCAGAGAGATGACCCTGAAATGCCACATGTGAGCAAATATTTGGTACATAGCCTTCTCCACAACTACAGAAAATCTACAACCTATCTCCCAGAGCATGTCACACCATGTCTAAAAATCTAGTACTTTTCCAGTTTAATTATGATGAGGCAAAGAAGGACCACTCAAATGGAAACATCTGTCATTTCATGTTATAGTCTTGTACCATATTATAAATTTAAGGCAACAAACAGGTAATTATAATTCCAAGAACCCACCATGTGCCAGTCAGGCTCCATTCATTTTTGTTCACTAATTCATGGATATGTTGGCAAATTTTCCCGACCTTATGACAGGCAGTAGACAACAAGCAATCTAGATTCTTTCTATAAAACACGTTTTGGTCATGGAAGTCCACTCCAAGGCCACATTGCAAAAGCTTGGCTAGACTGATTGCAGAGGCCTCTTGGAAAACGTGCCCTTGGAGTTGAGGGTCCACTAGACCTCACAGAAACAAAATGCTCAATGGGAATGGAAGACAGCAGCTCAGAGGAGGTTAGTGTGGCCAGACTTGCGTGATTAGAGGGAAAGGAGCTAAGATTTATTCTCAGTGCAAAGGAAGGTGGCTGAATGGGCATTGGAAGGAAACTGAGATTTAAAAGCTCCCTTTATGCGAAAGTGCTCCCTTAATCCACATGCTTTGTTCCTTGGAATAGACTTAATTACCAGCATTCCACCTGAGAAGAAAACAGCGAGTCCTGTCAAGATGGCATTGCTTCTGTTTGATCCTTGTTTTTCTCTGGGCCATGTTACTCAGGGCCCTAAACACACCACTGTCCTGCACCCTCCAAGTCCGCATTGTCCTGAAGTTATAGCACGACATGGCATCTTCTCTCTCTCTCTCTCTCTCTCTCTCTCTCTCTCTCCATCCATGAATCACTGTGTTAGCTTCACGTCTGCTTTCCTGGGTCCTTGCCAGCCTCTTCATTTCTCATCTCTAGAAGTCCACACTTAGCCTGGTTATTTTCTATTTAGTGTATCCATTTCTCATGCATGCTGAGCTGATAGATTTCTCCCATGTGTGGCCATAACTAAGTCTGCTACTGCACACTGTTTCCACTCCAGGCCAAACTGTGTACCAGCCCAGGCCTGCAGCATGCTGCTCCATGTCAGGCTCACTGGAAGGTGCTGAAAGATAAACACAGATAGGCAGGTCCCTGTGGAATGTTTTTTGATACTCAGAAGACTTGAAGTTATTCTCTAAAATTAGCTGCTTCTAACAGACTATAATCAAAAATAGAAATATCAGTGACCTGAGTGGTGGCAATGGCACTTCTTAGCCTTCAGGTTACTTCTATGACATGGGATGTATCCATATGCCCCTTCATCCTGCCCCAGGCTTGAGTGAAATTGAAATCTACCCAAAAGAAAATATCCCAAGGATAGTAAGTGATTATTCTCACCTCTGTACTTCAAAGTCACAGTCCTATACAACTTTGGAACGCCCCCCTCCCCCCAATAATAGCCTAAGTAGAAATGGCTTCTTGCTGCTGAGTGGCACCTCATAAACCACTCATGTTAGGTAGGCACTTTTCTCAGAATCCTGTTGACATCAGAACCACCATACTCTGTAGGGTTAGGTCTTACTCCCAAGCAGAAATCAGATGCCTTGCCTACCTTGAGGACTCACAGTGGAGTCTTATTCCAGAGCTTCTAGGCTTTTCTCTTAGTACCTATACCTCTTCTATTGTTCCTAAAAAAAAAAAAAAAACTTCTATGCCAGCTCTTATCTATTACTAAGAGGCAAGCTGCTTGGCTCAAACA